AAGATCAGATCGGTGTGTTAACATGAGCTTGAATACCTGTTAGGTTTTCCGAATCTATTTTCAAAATGTTTGATATAGATTTACAGCCATAAAAAATTATTCCGACAAAATCACACGGGAAAAAATAGTATTCTTAGGTGAAGCGCTACGACTGCTATCTGTGCCGATCGCTAGCTAGCATTGATTAAATTGACAGACTTACGTCGTTTGCACGCCAAAGGAAGGAGCATCAAAGGTAGAACATATCAAGCTAAAGCATGTTGAAGATCAGACAAACCTTGTGCAAAATAGGTTTGATTATATCAGCAACACTTAGAACTGAATTTAAATCTCAAACAACTTGCGTAAAATTTAACATTTTAAACTTTTGCGATGCGTAAATTATTGCAAATAAAGCTAAACTTTCGATATATATGTGGAAATTTGATCCATGAGTGAGAAGAAGAAGGTTTTGGACGTCTATGAACGATGTCATTTCTTAAACTGACGAAGCGAGAATAAACGAGATTTCGGACGTCGTCGTCCTCGAGCAACTTCACTGCTTAAGTTTCATTTTCCCGCTAAAAACGACGTCCTCGTTCCAGACCCTCCTCGATTACTTGACGTCGTCGTCGTCACTTTCGTCGTGGTTGCTTAAGCTCCCTAATGCTCCAGCAGTTGTTGTGAGTATGGAGTGGCGACATTTTGTCGGTTGTGGAAACTTTTAGCAGACAAACCACACAAGATGCTCTGGCATTTATGTTCATGGAGGATATCATCGATGAAGTCGAGTTTTCGTTGCTTTTCGAAACGGTGAACAAGAAAAATCCGTGCTTTCCCTACTGGTCATACGATCGCTTTGACTTGACTCGCGTCACGGACGAAGAATGTAAGGCTGAATTTCGTTTTGGACTGCCCCTGTTGGCAAAAGTTCTGGCCATTCCTGATACATTTATATGTAGAAATGGGATTGTGGCAACTGGCATGGAAGGTTTGTGCATTCTTTTGCGAAGATTTGCGTACCCTTGCAGATTGAGCGATTTAATTTCAAGGTTTGGGAGATCTGTACCTGAACTAAGCGAAATTATCTCGGAAGTTTCAAGCCACATCTTTGATAACTATGGGTATCTTTTACGAAGCTTGAACCAGCCCTGGCTGCAGCCCGATTGTTTGCAGAACTTTGCAGATGCAGTTTCCGGTAGAGGATCTGCGTTGTCTAATTGTTGGGGGTTCGTGGATGGCACAGTTCGACCAATTGCCAGACCAGGAGAACACCAGAGAGTGCTATACAATGGGCATAAAAGGGTGCACGCCTTAAAATTCCAGTCAGTTGTTGCACCTAATGGGATGATAGCTAACCTCTATGGACCAGTTGGTAAGACATTCATATACATGATTTAACTGTCAATTAGTAATTCATGATATTATTTTAGTTCGCCACAAGTTAAGGTCCTTGTTGACATACTTATTGTATTCAGTTATGGCTTGAATCAAAATAATAATAATAAAACAACAAAAATCAAGAATATTGTTTAAATACTAGGGTTATTGGTTAATTTTTTTAATTCTCACCAACTGCATCCTTTCAATAATTCCAGTTTAGCTTTTCACTTTCCTTTAAAATTTTGGCTTCTTGAGACCCCCATCTCCCTTAAATTTTCACTGACTTTTTCTGAACCACATGTTTTGTTGTTACTAGTACATCTCAGTATGCTAGCCCACTTGAACCTGACTTACGTACATGTATGTTTTTGCCCCCTCTAGAAGGACAACGGCATGATGCAGGAATGCTGCACATGTCAGGCCTGCTGACAGAACTGAACCATTATGCATATTCACCAACAGGACAACCATTGTGCATCTATGGTGATCCGGCATATCCTCTCAGACTTCATCTCCAGGCACCATACCGTAATTCCCATTTAACAGCAGAACAACAAAGTTTCAATTCTTCAATGAGCACTACCAGAGCAGCAGTTGAGTGGGTTTTTGGTGACATTTCAACTTATTTTGCATTACTCGACTTTAAGAAAAATCTTAAAATAGGTCTAAGCCCAGTTGGGAAATTGTATTCTATTAGTGCCCTGTTAAGAAATGCTTTAACTTGTCTGTGTGGCAATACGACAAGCACATTTTTTAATTTAGATCCACCAACCATTGAGGAATACTTTCAATATTAACGTAGATTTGATAAGGAAATACATGTATATTAACTGGAGAGTGACACAGCATTTGGATTTAGTTCAATATAATTACATTAATCCTGATTATGATATTGTTACTACTTTTTCAAGAGGCAACAGAACAGTCTTTAGCCATGTAAGAGGCCATAATGATTAAAAGTAATCAAGTCAAGAATTGCTTATATTTATAGCATAAAATTATGCCAACCTGAAGAAAACAAACATCAGCAAGATGAGCCTTTGCTACCACCCCAGAATGCCAGTGAGGCCAAATTAACAATGCAGGAAGGATAGTTATGATTTTCATGGTTTGAAAACTATTTATTCTTGACTTAAAGGCATTTACTCTAGATTATTTTCTTAATTTAGTTTTATTTTTCAAATTGGCACATTTTGTCCAGATATCTGCTTCAGCAGACTATTACACTACTTTGTTATGATGTACAAAATTTCTGGCTTGTACGTGTTATCACTCACAACAGACGGCAACAAGTGTATTGCTGGTAAATAAATGAGGAGTTTTTATGTAGTTGTGTCATGAGGAAAGGAGTCTATTTTGAACTGACCCACCCAATGTGTATGGAATGTGACAATAGTTACGTGCTCTGAACCCTCCTTAATTAAGGTCAGCAAAACATAAAATAAAATGCTGAAAAACTTCTCTGTCAATTTTCTAATAATCCCATCTCTTGAACTTAAGACCTTTTAATTGGCCCCCTCTTTGCTTTCCAACATGTGAATCTAAAACAAATTACAAACAGGGAAACAATGGTTTGATTTACCTGCCTAGCAACAACCATTTGCTACTTTTAGATTGACCAGAAGCTTATTGGAGCTGTTGGTTTGAAAAATGCCCCTCTGTAATAATTGAGACTACACCCACCTCTGGAGAGGTCTCACTAAAAAAGGCAAAAGCACTCAGCACATGACATGACTTTTATTGGCATGCCCACACAGCTCATGGCTCATTATTACACAATTTATGTCACTTGAATGAGGACTTTGAGTTCAAGACTGAAAAAAGTGGTCAATATTTTTGTGAATACTCAAATAATTATTGGAGGACAATCTACAGAAAGCCCTAGAAAAAACTGATTTTCCATAAAATATGTACTTGAAGAAATATTGAAAAATATATTACAATGAAATATAAATATGATTGAAAAGCTGTTAAAATTTCATAGTCAAATAATTACTTAACAAAAATCTAAAGCCACAAAAAGTATTTATTTTCAATGAAATAGATACTTGAAGAAATTCAAGAGAATAATAAAATTAGTTTTTAAAGTGTATTTGTGAATATTGAATGTCAAAGTTCCTACCAACATCGATGCATACTTGTAATAACAGAAGGTTCCTGAGGGGCTTATTTCTTAATCACCTTTAGTAGCTCGGTAAGAGCAGACATCATAGACATGTTCAATGCTTGTTGTTGTTGTTGGAATTGGTGCTGTTGCTGCAAAAGACTCTGATGGAACATTTGTTGTTGTTGCATCTCTGAAGCTCTGAGATCCAACTCCCTCTTTTTTATTCTTTCATCGCGTTCTTGTTGCCATTTTTTCAACTCGATGGTCTCCTTGACAACATCAACCATGCTTGTGCTCCTCTTTCTTTTACCTGGTGGACTTTTGTCATCTACATTGGGGTCTTCTAAGCTGGCTTTTCTCTTTTTGGTCTCAGACAACTTTTCAGTCGCTTGCCTTCTCATTTCTTCCGCAACAGCTTTCTCTTTCTTCTGCTTTTGTTCTTCGCCTTCTCTGAGTTCTTCAAATTCTGCCATTCTTTCCTTTATGTCCTGCTAAGACTGATCTAGCTCTCCGTAACCTACATCTACTCCACTTTGTTTTTTCTCTTCGCTTTCCTTCTTAACGAAATCTTTCATCAATTTGTCAAATTTTTCTCGCACTGATCTTTGTGTGACCTTTAAACCAGAACCAGCCAAACGCTCCGCAATTTCTGTCCAAGCTGACCCTCTTTCTTTGGTCCCAGCCTTAAACTGGTATGGTTCAGTGGTGATTACTTCAGTGAGAAGCATTTTTTCGTGCTCGATTTTCCAGATAAACAGCTCTCTCGACATATCGTCATGTAGTTCTGAAACTGAAAAACACGGTATGTAATAAGCTTAGCTTTAACTTAGCTTCCGGTTTTACGCTTGGACTTAAGAAATATCTTGTTAGGCTAAAACTGACTAACTCGAGCTTATTCTAATCGAAAGAATAAAAAGAAGGAACATGACTTTGAACTTAAAGTACACCACAGTTTTTGAAAAGCAATTTCTAACTTGCAAACATAACAATTTGTTAGTAACTGTTCAATGTAGACTTTGTACATGTATGAGTCGCTTGAAACTTGTAAAAACAGCTATAGAGACTAACCTTTTAACCCAGCTGAACTCAGTCGTACTCGGGGAACGAGTTTTCTTGAAAACCTCGTAGTTCTTAAAAGGACGGCAGCGAGATTTTGAAGACAGAACGAGTTTGCGTGACATGCTCACGCTATCGCGCATGCGTGCTAGTTACACTTTGGTAATCTCGTTCTCGTACTCGAAGTCGTAGTCGGATCTGAAGGTCCCTATTGTGACAAAGGCGACGGATGACAGCAATGCAGAAAAGAAGGTTCAACGAGAACTTCTTGCGCTCGGTGTTGAAGCAAGCAATGACTTTGACACCGTTCTCGAGAAGTTTGGCTTGCGTAAAACCATGAGAATTTGTGCATGGATCTTGCGGTTCAATCACAATTCTCGTCATCCTTCCAAGAGGATCATAGGACCTCTTACAACCGAAGAAATTCAGCAACAAGAAATGTCCTGGATCAAGCGAGCGCAGAGCCAAGGGGCAAAGAAGGTCAAGTTTGCCCGTGACCAGGAACAACTGAATCTGCAACTAAACACCGATGGTGTATTGGAATGCCGAGGACGCATTCAGGGTGAGTATCCAATTTACTTACCAGATTCTAATTCTTTCACAGTGGAAATAGTAAAGCAAGCGCACGAGGTAACTCTCCATGGGGAAGTCAGCATGACTATGGCTAAGGTCCGAGATAGATTCTGGGTACCAAGGCTTCGACGGCTTGCTAAGAGAGTAGTGAAGCACTGCTTTGGATGCAAGAGATTCCAAGCTCAGCCCCTTCATGACCCACCACCAGGTTATCTACCGAAGTCACGTACAGAAGGGAGTACACCTTTTGATGTCATCGGGATGGACTTCGCAGGACCAATCAAGTATCGTGAAGAGTGAGAGCCAGAGAAGAAAGCCTACGTCGTACTCTACTCCTGTTGTCTTACCCGCGGAATCTTCCTGGAGGTGCTTCCCAGCCTAGAAACAAGCGAATTTATCAAGAGCTTTAAACGTCTGATCGCGAGGAGAGGTCGACCATCCCTTGTCTACTCGGACAACGGTTCTACCTTCACAGCTGCGGCAAAGTGGCTGACGAAAGTGAAGGAGGATGAGAAGTTCCATTCATTTTTGAGTGACCAATCCATTACTTGGCGCTTTAACGTGAGTAGAGCACCATGGTGGGGAGGACACTTCGAAAGACTTATTGGCTTATTTAAGTCTTCATTCTACAAGTCTGTGGGTCAGGGTCTGCTAAGCTGGGACGAGCTCTGCGAGGTAGT